AGCCGGTCGTACTGCAGGCACTGGAGCTGGAGACCCTGGAGCTGTAGGCGCTGGAGCTGGAGGTACCGGGGTGCTGGAGCTGCTGGTCTTGGAGGTGCTGGAGGTGCTGGAGCCGCTGGTCCCGGAGGTGCTCGTACTGGAGGTACTGGAGCTGCTGGAGCTGGAGGTGCTGCAGGCGTTGGAGCTGGAGGCGCTGGAGCTGGAGGTAGCGGAGTTGCTGGAGCTGTTGGAGGTGTTGGAGCCGCTGGTCCCGGAGGTGCTCGTACTGGAGGTACTGGAGCTGCTGGAGCTGGTGGTGATGCAGGCGTTGGAGCTGGAGACCCTAGAGCTGGAGGTGCTGGCTCTGGGGGTGCTGGTGCTGTCAGTGCTGGTTCTGGAGGCACTGTGCGGCCGCGACCGTACTTTGTTCCACTGCTTCAGCAGGTTATTGGTCTCCCGTCTTCTACTGGCCTTACTCCTCCCTTACTTTGTCCACCGCCTGACCAGTCGCAGTCGCAGTTCCAGCCAGACTCCCCACTGCCTTCTCCTTCTCCTTACACTGAGCAGACAGACTCTCCTTCAGAGCGTCGTGAGCCTGCGTCTCGTCCTGCGTCGCCTGTTCGCGCTGTTCGCACTGGTCGTCGTGTTTCTCGTCAGCGTCCTGCTCCTGTTCCCGGCACGCACCATATGGCACTTCGTCCTTCCTCTGTTCCACAGCGTCTCCCTCTGCCGTCTCCTCATGCGTCCTCTCTTCCTGGAATGACATTTTTCGAGAGAGTCATCAACCCTAAACACCTACTAAGAAGGTGTTTGGAATTGATGCACTTCCCAAAATTGGTTGATATTTTTTATGTTACCAACCGTAAAAGAGTTTGCAACCGTAAACACCATAGTGCGTGGTGTTTAGGGACGATGCCATTCCCAATGACTTTGTTGATTTCATTTATGTATGTTTTTTATGATTTCCGTAATAGTATATCCAGTGTCATATGCACAATTGCACGTCAATGTTCGTTGAAAGCACATTGTTTATGCGCCCATCGATTCAAGTGGGCAGAAGCCCTGCTACAAGCGATGGATCTGGGTGTGATGCGAATATTTTTAGTAATAGTAATGTATCACATAAAACGGCAGTTTTGTTATGACTTTATTTATTTTCCCCTACGTGCATAAGGACGCTTAAATATTACACTATGTAATTTAAAAAATGCCATTGATATAATTCAGTTTCAGGTAAACCTTAGGTACTTTCCTGTGATTTTAGATGGAACGGCATTAGATAAGGCACATCTAGTTGAGGAAGCAAATTGATGTGGCCATTCCAGTCCCTACCAACGAGAAGGTAGCGGTGATTGTACTGTAACGGGTATCCTTTGTAGTGACATTGCGGAACTTTGTGTTCTAGTTGTTCTGTTTGTCCTCTCTAATTGCTGCTAGCATTAAATTCTGTCGGCTTTGTGCATTTTTTTTGCAACAAGCGAAGTTCTTGTCGTTTTTGGAGAGCGGTTGGGAAACACAGCACAAAATGTTTCCAAAAGAAACAGTCTAACATTTATACTGTACAGATCGTCAAGTGCTGCACAGTGCACAGTGCTGGTTTGGAAAGTCCGACAGCTCAGGCCTTGCTTGAACCGTTTCATGGATAAAATGGACAGTGCACCGATGGGTTTTGGGCAACCCTGCCAAATGGCAGGGCGACGCTCGAAAGCACCCTGCTTTGCCCGATAACCCCGAGAACCAGGCAGGGTGGGGCGAAAACCAACCCACTCCTGACAATTTGGCGTTATTTGCGGCAAATTGCACTTTGAAAACCAGGCTAAATAAGTTATGGTCCAGGTTTGAGATGCTGCGGCGAGAACCCGACCTGCCTTTTGGGCAGATGTAGCAAGAGTAGCTGGTTGGTTGCGCGAGATCGTCATCATGACATGAGGGTGGAAACGGTTACTTACCTGTTTACGACAAAATCTTGCGAAATTGCCAACTTTGCGGCAAGCTGGGCCAAACAACACTGTACAAAAGAATGGAGCAACACACCGCATATTTTCAGGGCTGGTTCCACTGTCGCTAATTATTTTCTGCTTGATGAGAATCGTTGAATGTTAGTACTGTATCTGCTTGATCAATCAGACATCCAAAAGCTAGAGGCAACACTCGGTGAATGATGTTTTCATGTTGTCGCAGGAACTTCCACTCGTGCAGGGGGTGACTCGTGCTGCTCGCACTCGTGATAACTGGGCGTGGATGGATCATGTCAGTTCTTTGACCCGCGGACTGGAACCCGCGGACGGAAACCCGCGGACTGCAACCCGCCCACCGAAACCCGCGGACCAAAACCGGCGGACTGCAACCAACTTTTTCATTCGGCTGTCCACGCTGTACACCTTGAGCCATCCAAGCACCAACGCGTGGAGCACTCCAAGACCAGACCAATCACAACGATGATAGGAAATTGTGATAAAATTTGCTGATGGTGAAGTCCTACATGCCCCTCCCCCTTGTGTAACGAAATCGTGTTCTGCGGAGCCAACTTGGCGTACACCTTGCAAATCACGGAGGAACCCGTGCACAACACACTTTGAGGAAAGTATTTCAGATTCATGCAATGCAATTACCACCTCTCAAACGATTTCCAGTATCAACCTGATTCTGGGTTCCATTGGTATTACTCATTGCAAAATTGGTCAAAATTTACGGTGGTTGGCTAAGTGTCGTATAAAAATGGCTTCATGAAGGGTGGGACATTAACGAATTTCAACACCGTTTCAGATGTTATTGTTTTCTTAGCCCTTCCTCGTTCCCAGCGAGGCGTGTAAATAAGTGGGTAGGCGGATTACGATCGACATCCGGGGTAATACCAAAGATGGTTTCCCCTAAAACCTTTAAACCTTTACCTTGTTAGCCAATCAGCCACCTGAAGAGCCAACTAACGGTATATTCCCCCGAATTTCACGTGGAAGCACGTGACAAAGGAATGCGCAGCAATTCGGATGGAAACTACACCCTCTTTTTCGCTAGACTGACATCGGATGTCCTGAACAACACGGTTAGTAGAAACGCAACGCACCCAAGTAGGTCCTATCACATGCGGTTTAGTGACATTTTGACCCACCGTGAAGGCAGTTAGTAAAGGTTTTATACGTTATAGACTGGCTTTGTTTTTTTTGTAAGAACGGTTGGGAAGGGTATTCAGTATTGTCGGGGTAATAACGCCCCAAGGCATGCTCGTCGCCTCGTGCGACTTTGCCCGCAACTGTAGGTCGAGAATGAGGGTGGAGGAGGAATCCTCACCAGCAGTAACTTGCCCTATGGTTTGTGGAGGGAAAATGTCCCTGTCGGAGTGGCGGAGTGGCGGAAAGTGCCCGCATATAGCACTGTAGTCCCCTTGAAAGCGCAGGGTCGCTAGTAGTACCCCTGCGAAAGCTACTTACCCGAGGGAAAACCTTGGTGCATTTCAAAGGAAGTTCCTTTTTCCGCTGTGCGGGGACGTGGTGCGATGACCCACCAAGTTTTTTCCGGACCAAGTCGGACTGAATCGGACCCACCTAGCGTTTGTTTTTCCGGACTGCCCGGAAGCGGGAATCTCTACGAGGTTGTCGCATGATCCAAGTATATTTTCTGTGACAGACGATTGAAGGGTCCGTTGCCATTTTGGCGAAGTTGGACCGACTAGAGTCTATAGTAGCAGACTGTCTTCGACTTGAAGTTAAACTGATCCTTACTACCTAGTAGGTAGTCTCCGAGAGCAGTCTGGTGCCGCGCCCTTATCAGCAGCAAACATATATTTCGGCTAGTTTTGTACTGTTAGGCGGCGACACTGCTGTGCATTCCGTCACTTTCTATAATATAATTTTCAAAATTCATGTGAGCCGTCCGACTCGATAACAACCTCCTGTTTGTGCGCGCTTCTCCATTTGAGATTGGATTGGAGTCAGTTTTTTTGGATAGTTCAACTACCAAGTTGGTCCTCCAGCCTCCAACTCCTCTGGCCACTTCAAACCGCAGGTATCAACACCTCTGAGCGACTTTTTGGGACAGGTTTACCCCACTGTCTCTTTGGGGATAAGTTGGTCAATTCGAGATAGGTGCCCCCTCTCAATCCACCCACTCCCACCCCTCCTCCCCCCCTCCTCCCTCTACCCGTGATGAGGCAAAGGTGTTGCTGTCTAGGATGGTATCGCAAAGCCAAAGTCTGAGCCGATCACATATCTGCTTTAGAGGCCACTTCTGGGCCACATTGCCCCATCTTATAAGGTGATTCTGATAAAACTTTCCAGAGGCCATTCACAAGAGCTTCGGGGGGACGGATCCAGGGCAGCGACTTCTGGTGTGGTAGTAGCAGTAGTTTTGTACTACAAAAGCAGATGGAAAAGAGACAGGGTGGGAAAGCGGAGGTTGAATTTCGATGGCAACAACAGATAATGACGCGAAATCAGCCTGCTCGGAGGCAGATCATGCAACCAGAGCAGCAGCGGCAGCTGAAACAGCAGCAGATGGCACGGCAGTTTGTACCACAGCCAGTCTATACAGCACAACTGCAGCAGCTACAGCCACAGCTACAGGCTAAGCCAGTGTTCTTGGAGATACAGCCACTGCTACAGACACATATACTGCAGCGTGAGACTGCTGCTGGTGCACACCCATCAGGTTCTGGAGCCAAGCGCACGACATTGACGCGCAACCGAAACTACAACCAGGAAGGAAAGTAAGGGGGAGTGAGGAAGCGAGGGGAGTTCAAGTACATTGCAGAGATTAAAGACACCACTAGTGGGGTCCGCAGGTGGCTAGGCACCTTCAACACTGCAGAGGAGGCTGCTCGGGCGTTTGATGAAGCTGCTTCTGACCTCAGAGGATCAACAGCGAAGCTTAACTTTCCGAAAGGGTATATCAAGGAAAGGGGAGGAGTTCTGGGTTCCAATCATCCAAAGCTAGGAGCAGCAGGGCGGGAGGCAGATAGTAAAGGCAGGGCACCTACGGTTTTCTACGATAGTAGTATTGCTGAGAGTAAAGGCATGGGATTTTCGATGAATAGGGACTCCTTAGGACAGATTGGAAAGGGCGGTTCTAGGAGCCCTGGAGATCTAGGAGCTCTGAAAGGGAAGGAAGTACTAGAATATGCTGAAGATGCTGCGGAAGGGCGATTGCTGGGAGTGGACATGGGCCGGATAAAGTCGTTTGGAGAAGGAGCAAGTAAGGCAGTGGGCATGGTGGCAGCAGAAGCTGGTGGAAGATCAGGTACTGTAGGGTCAGCGTTAGTTGGTGAAGTTGCCGGCGAGGGAGGAGGAGAAGGAGGAGGAGGAAAAGGAGGAGGAGAAGGAGTAGGAGGAGAAGGAGAAGGAGGAGGAGGAGGAGGAGGAGGAGGAGGAGGAGGAGGAGGAGGAGGAGGAGGAGGAGGAGGAGGAGGAGGAGGAGGAGGAGGAGGAGGAGGAGGAGGAGGAGGAGGAGGAGGAGGAGGAGGAGGAGGAGGAGGGGGGGTAGGAGGGGTGTGCATAGCAGCAGAAGCGCCAGCAGTCAGTGTTCAGAATGGACCAGCTTATTCTCCTGATTGCATCTCCACTTTCAGCAGCAGCAGCTCCGACAGAACCGCCCCTTTCTCCTCTGCCCCTTCTCCCTTTGCTTCTTTTCGACACGCCTCCCTTCCTGCTACCTCTACTCCTTCCACCTCCACCGGTGTGCTAAACTCCACCCTTCCTCCTTCCACTGCCCCTTCCATCTCTACTTCTTTCCTGCACTCCTCCCTTCCTGCTGCCTCTGCTCCTTCCACCTCCACCGATGTGCTACACTCCACCCTTCCTCCTTCCACTGCCCCTTCTATCTCTACTTCTTTCCCACACGCCTCCCTTCCTACTACCTCTGCTCCTTCCACCTCCACCGATGTGCTACACTCCACCCTTCCTCCTTCCACTGCCGCTTCCACCTCTACTTCTTTCCTACACTCCACCCTTCCTGCTACCTGGGATTACAATGTCGCTGTATCTGGGAAATTGATGATGCAAGGAGGGGATCCATCGGTGCAAGAAGCAGAGGAGATGGTGGAGGTACCCAACATGACAACGGCAGGCCCAGCTTCAAACATGATCACAAGCTGGCATGCTGAAATGATGCAGCATGCGCCTGCCATGGTGCCCCCGTTCGAGTCGCTCTGGAGGGATGACCATGGCATGCAGTATGGATTTACCATGTCCCGCATGTCTTCTATATGTGTCAGACCGCCGCGTCAGCGTCACCAGACACATCGGCTGCAGCAGCGACAGTGGCGGCGGCAGCAGAAGCAACAGCATCAGCAGCAGCAGCAGCAGCAGCAGCAGCAGCAGCAGCAGCAGCAGCAGCAGCAGCAGCAGCAGCAGCAGCAGCAGCAGCAGCAGCAGCAGCAGCAGCAGCAGCAGCAGCAGCGACAACAGGGGCCGCAGCAGGGTCAGCAGCAGAAACAGCAGCAGCAGCGCCATGCGTCAAGCTTCTGGCAACAAAATTGTCTGGAGTTGACATCTGGCAGGAGGGGTAAGGCGGGTGCATGTAGCCCTTCTGCAGACCCCACGAGTTCACCTTCTCTCATGGAGGAGTGGAGGGAGCAGCAGGCGCTTAAAAGCCACACCTCAGACTTGCTAAACAACCACACAGCTAACAATATTTCCGGCCCTTCACTCTCCGATTCTCTACTCACCGCCCATCACAAGCCGCATTCCGAACCCGCACCTCTGATGTTTCGAAGCCACAGCGTATCTTCCCCCTTGGAGCTACGGGTTTCCACTTCATCAACCCCTGAGTCCCAGCCATCTGTGGGATACACTGGGGGTGTCGGTCATTTGAGTGCAATATTCAATGAGGAGAAAGGAAATGGGTGTTGTGGGTGCTAAGGGTGGTGGAGGTCGCGTGGTTAGCAGTGTGGCGGTTGCTTCCAGGGTTGCTGGTGGTGCCAGCATTGCTGGTGCTGCAGTTAAGGCCGGCATTTCCAGTGCTGCTGGTATTGCTGGTGCTGACCTTCAGGACCAGCAGCAGCAGCAGCAGCAGCAGCAGCAGCAGCAGCGCCATGCATCCCGCGTCCTGCAAAAAGGCTCTCTGGATGTGATTTCTGGAAAGAGTTGCAAGGCAGCTGCATGGAGCCCTTCTTCAGACCTCACAGGTGCACCATTCCCCATGACGGAGTGGAGGGAGCCGCAGATGTTTGGGAGCCACACCTCAGACCTGGATATCAGCCACACAGCCAACAACATCTCCAGCCCTTCACTGTCAGACTCTCAACTTAAGCCCTGCTGTGATCCTCATTCCGAACCTGCACCTCTGATGTTTCGAAGCCACAGCGTATCTTCTCCCTTGGATCTACGGGTTTCCAGTTCTTCAACCCCTGAGTCCCAGCGGTCTGTGGGAAACACTGGTAGTGTGGGTGCCGTGAGCGTTGCAAGTGGTGCTTTTGCTGCTTGTGGTATGGGTGCTGTGGGTGGCATGGGTGTTGCTTCTAGTGTTGCCAGTGCTGTCTGTGTTGCTAGTGCAGCTAATAATGTGGGTGTTGCCAGTGCAGCAGGTGTCGCCAGTGTTGCTGGTGTTGCCAGTACTGCAGGTGTTGCCAGCGATGCTGCTGTTGCCGGCACTGATGTTACCCGTGGTGACCAGCAGAAGTTGAAACATCAGTCGCATGCCATGCAGCAGCAGCGGCAGCGGAAGCAGCAGCAGAAGCAGAAGCAGCAGTCGCATGCCATGCAGCAGCATGACCCTCACGCACTTCCAGACAGCCCGCCCACCCTTCAAACAGTCTCTTACCCCCATAATACCTGCTGCTCCGAACTCCACCCTCACAGCTGCTACCAGTATTGCTGCTAACGTTTATGGAGGCAGTTGTGTTGCTGCCGGCGCTGCTGCTGGCGCAGCTGCACCCATTGCTAATTGCAATGTTGCAGGAGTTCCGATCCTTCCTCCTCCCGCCTCTCCGCCCACCATCTTTGATTGTACAACCAGCTTGCGTGGGTTCCACAGCACAGAACAAGGCTGTGTTGAAGCCTTGGCGCATGCTGTCTTTGGGAAAACCATCTGCATGGAGATTGGGGGTGTGGACAGCAGTGGTGGAGCGGTTTTCATGCACGACTGTACAGCAGCAGGCTTCGAAGTGCCACACAGTGTTGTTGCTGCGGATCATCCCACTGTGGAGCAGACTGGTCTGGACCAGCCTCGCGCAGAACAACCTAGTTTGGACCAGCCTAGTGTGGACCAGCCCGGTGGGGAACAGGATTGCAAGCATCAGGCGTGCGCAGCCCAGCCGATTCTGCTCTGTGCTGAGAAGCTGTTCGCTGCCCAGCCTACTTCTGGCGAACGGTGTTCTGCCGAGCACCATATCATGGCAGACCTTCCTCTCCCTCACTCCTCAGTGGATCTGTTGCTTCTTGACGAAGAGCAGCACTCTGCCTTTGCTGCAATGGATCTCACTACCCCATTTTCTCACATCGAGAGGACAGCTCGTTGCGCCTTTGAGAACTATGCTTGCTCTGTGCCTTTTATGGGAGCAACAGATGTAGGTTTGGATGTTGGGGGGGAGGCTATGGATGTGGGAGGGATGGGATATGCAGAAGATTTTCAGCATCTGACTGTGAGTGCCACTGATGCTGGAATCTGCACCATTGATCCGTTAGAAATGTTCTTGATGGATAATGGAGAATAAGCATAGTGGTGAGAAATAGATTGTGTTTTAGGATAGGAATATTCTTTCATTTTATCCACAGCAAAAAAACAACACAGGGCTCAAGAAATAGGACACGAGATGGTTGAAGATAGATAGATGGCATGAGACAAGAGGGGATGGATGGGGAACTAAAGATAGATGCACTGGCTCGTGATGGGCTGGTAACAACCTTTTCTTGTCGAAGTGTATGGACTTCAATTCATGCAGAGAATGGTGATCAGGCCCCCAGAAGTCAGAGAAATTTCTCTGATTTGCATGAAAAACTTTGATGTTTCAGATTTTTGCTGAAATGTGGATACCGTATAATTATCATTTCTCATGGGGTAATTACAAATACCTATTATGAACTGGGACCACTCATGGAAAAAGTGCTGAAAATGATATTCACCAATAACATAGCAGATAATCAAGTAACATTTTAAGAACAGCGACTGCTTATAGTAAAAACACAATAATGCCATGCATCCATGCTAACACAACCCCTTGCTGATACACCAAAGCACAAGGCCGCTAACAGCGATTATTTGTTAAGTAATTAACAAAAACAAAAAACACAACGTACCTGGTCCTGCCGCCGGGAGTAATTAAAATTGCATGCCCTCGCACAGAGCGACACCAAGGCGACATATCGATAAGCACTAGAACTGAAAGCCGCTAAGAACCTCACCGGCATGTGTCGATCTGCAAACAAATACAACGATTGCATTAGTTTTGCCGCGTGGGTATGAAATCATTACCTTCTTTGTCTCGTAAGACAGCGCTGTGAAACAGAGAGGAATAAGAAAAGCTATAATTGAGTTACATAAGTGAAACGAAGAGGCGACAGCGAAGAAAAAGGGAGCGGTGCTTCTTAGAGCGCAGAAAACGGGAGAGGTGCTTCATCGAATCGTAACAAAGGTGCTGTAAAAAAACAGCGATAAGTAGTTAGCTGGGGTGGCTAAGGAAAAGCTGCAGATAGATCTCTACGGAGATGACGACTGGAAGACTAACAGGAACGATAAATAGGACACGGAGAAAGCAAAAACGAAAGATCGAGTAATGAGAGGTGGGAGGGGAGGGAAGTGTGAGGTGGGTTGGAGGGAAGGATAGGGGTTACTGCAAAGATACCTGTCACAGCTCTAGCGCCAGAAACTGCCAGATTGCTGGTGAGGAGGTGTCATTCCTGAGCGCCACACAATCGCGCCACCTGAAGCTTGCACGTTTCGCGAAGGGTGGAATAGTGTGGCAAAATGCGCTGCAACACGTTAGCGATCCCGTCGATTGGCTCGGTGGGGGTGAGGAAAATGCCCGCTCACCAGTACTGTACTGAAGTTTGCACGTCGCCTTGTTGAAATCACCTAACTTGATTTCTGCATTTGGCGATAAAAACGAACTCGCGCAAAAAAAAAAAACAAAAACAACAAGCTGCTCGTGGTCGCACGCGATTGGCTAGGCGCGACAACATTGTGGCGCGAGAGAGCATTTGGTGTCCTAGAACTCGCCACCTAGCTACTAGTGGTCGCACGCGATTGGCTACGAAGTTGTGGCAACAGCAACTTGGAACTCAGTCAACAATGTACACGCAATGATACGTGTTTCCCAGCACACTCAGCAGAACAAGCAGCATAAAACAAAACTCACCTGTTGAACCGTCTTGTAAGCTGTCGAACCGAGGGGAAACCGAAGCATACACTCGTACTTCGCTGGATATTACTATAACATCTAAAGTTAATTGCAAATATTTAACTACTGTTCTCAAGTAAACTCGACAATCTATTTATGTTAATATTACCTTAATACACCTTTATAAATTCCCACAAACTCAACTCGCATTTTAGCGTCGTGGGGGCTCATATCCACCGTGGTTGTGGTTTAAATCGATGTTAAATTGGTTCTCCCGCATCCCCAATACCTCCTCAACAAACTTGCAAACAAATGTTTGATGTACAAACTTTCCGGAAAATAAAACACCATCTCAAGTTATACCAATGAAGCTACTATCACTTGACACCTCATTCTCTGGATGTCATTTGTCAGAAGACTAAGCGATAATGAATGAACTAAGATGAAAGTGGGTACAAGTACTAACCCTAATTGGGTTGTACCCCATATGGGCTACCCCACTACAGCCTACACAACACACACAACATAATAGTTTGACACACCCCCATAGGCAAAGTGGGGGAGAACAAGGGGTCACAAGACCAGTCAAGAAAAGCAAAGCAAGCTCAGGGTGGATCACGAAGTCACCACACACTCTGAGCACAAGCAAATGGCCACAAGGCCAGTTCACATGCAGAGTTATATAATGGAGAACAAGCAGTACAGTGATCACAACCTAGCAAGTGTAAGCATGCAGGTATAAGTATATAGATCACAGTACAAGCAAAGTCAAGAAGTGAGCAAGTGAGACCAAGTAGGCACAAGGCCTAAAACAGTACAGAAACGCTAATGATCACAAGGCTGAAGTGCATAGGTGAATATATCAGCAGTGTTGGCCCGAGAGGCCACGTAAGCAAGACGAAGCTGACCACGCTGCTGCAACTCTCGAGCAAGGAAGTAACGCAGAGCGATGTGCTTCGTCCTATGCTCCAGTCTGTGCTCCTGACACAAGGCAATCCAAGGCTGAAAGTGTAACCCTGTGACGACCGCTGCGTAGCCAAATCGTCAACCCAAGAAGCGTCTGCGTGTCCATTGAGGACAACTGAACCCCGTCCTCCAAGCACGAGCCCCATGCCCGACGTACTGCACAAGTAGCGCAACACCCTCTTAGCGGCCTCCCAGTGCTCTGGTCGGTGTCTCCCGGGCGCAACGTAGCGTGCCAGGATGCTAAGAGGGTAGGCAAGGTCAGGTCGAGTGCAGGTCATCAGGTACATGAGGCAGCCAACAAGCTCTGGATACGGGCCACTCGGCTCTACGGAATCGTCCGAAGGTGGAGCTGAGAGCGAGTGACCGGTAGGCAGAGGAGTGGACTGTGGCGAGGAGTACTGGAAGCGGAAGCGCTGAAGGACCTGCTGCACCATGTGTGACTGAGTCAAGGTAATGGCTGACGAGGAGGACGCTGACGAGGAACACGGCGACCAGTGCGAACAGCGCGAACAGGCGACGCAGGACGAGACGCAGGCTTACGACGCTCTGTAAGAGAGTCTACCTGCTCAGTGTAAGGAGAAGGAGCAGGCAGTGGGGAGGCTGGCTGTAACTGCGGCTGCGACTGGTCAGGCGGTGGACACAGTAAGGGAGGAGTAAGGCCAGTAGAAGGCGGGAGACCAAGAACATGCTGAAGCAGTGGAACAAAGTACGGTCGCGACCGCACAGTGCCTCGAGAACCAGCACCAACAGCACCAGCACCCCCAGGGCCAGCACCTCCAGCTCCAGGGTCTCCAGCTCCAGTGTCTCCAGCTCCAACGCCTGTAGCACCACCAGCTCCAACGTCTGCAGCACCTCCAGCTCCAGCAGCTCCAGTACCTCCAGTACGAGCACCTCCGGGACCAGCGGCTCCAGTACCTCCAGCACCTCCAGGACCAGCAGCTCCAGCACCTCCGGTACCTCCAGCTCCAGTGCCTACATCTCCAGGGTCTCTAGCTCCAGTGCCTGCAGTACTACCGGCTCCAGCAGCTCCAGTACCTCCAGTACGAGCACCTCCGGGACCAGCAGCTCCAGCACCTCCAAGACCAGCAGCTCCAGTGCCTCCAGCTCCAAGGCCTCCAGCGGCAGGCCCCCCAGCTCCAGTAGCGCCACTCCGAAGGCTCCAGCGCCGAGCAAACCACTCGCGCAGCTGCGGTGGAGAGAGAGGCTCCCGCCGTGACGAGGCACCCGTAGGACCTCCAGCAGACAAAGTACCTCCAGGCTCAGCACGCTCAGGCTCAGCACCCCCAGGCTCAGCACCCCCAGGCTCCTCACGCTCAGGCTCAGCACCCCCAGGCTGCGCACCCTCAGACTCAGCAACCCCAGGCTCAGCACCCCTAGGCTCCGCACGCTCAGGCTCAGCACCCCCAGACGCAGCACCCCTAGCAGCACCACCCCCAGCAGCACCAGAGTCGACAGCGACCTCGGCTCGACAGGGTCTACCTGAGACACACCTGAGGGAGCAGGACCCTGAGGGGGGAGGGGGTCTACCGGAGGAGGACCTGGTGCGAGGAAGAACGGCGGGGGGGGGAGAGGGGCAGTGTGGTAGGGGAAGAGACGGTAAAAGGGAACCGATTCGTCAAACGTGACGTCCTGAGAGGACAGGACATGGCGCGAGGTGGGGTGGTAAAACTGCCAGCCAGGCGCGTCAGGGGGAAAGCCAAGGAAGACGCAGGGAATGGCGCGGGAGGAGAGCTTGTCTGCGGAAGTATCGCGGACAAAGGCACGAGAGCCCCAGACCCGGAACACCGACGCATCGCCAACCTTCCCCGTCCAACGCAGTGTAGGCGAGGTCTCCGGCAAGGAGACACGGGGCCAGAGGTTGAGCTGATGCGCAGCGTACCGGACCGCAAACGGCCACAGAAAATGGGGGGCAACCGCATGGATCATGGAGGTACGAGCGACCTCCATGACTAAGCCAATGCGGTGCTCAGCAACCCCATTCTGCTGCGGAGAGGCCGGAAGCATGAACGACTGGCGAATGCCTTCCCCACGACAAAAGTCCAGCAAGAGGTCGGAAGCAAACTCACCACCTCTGTTAGAGTGCAGACGCAGGACAGGAAGGTCCTCGTGGAACCGCTCGCGGAGCTGGAGACGGACAGCGCGGATCCAAGGGATCAAAACATCAGGGACCTCCCCCTTGCTATGCAAGGGGAAGACCGTGGTGTAACGCGTGTAGTCGTCAACAACCAGCAGAAAGTATCGCTCGCGGCCCTGTCCACGGACGCGGGCTGGGCCCCACACGTCCATGTGGAGAGTCTGCAGGGGAGCAGTCGTCGGGGGAAACGAGGAGGAGTGAGGAGCGGCGCGCTGCCGCCCCTCGACACAGGGAAGGCAAGGAGGGGCAGGCGAGGGTGGGAGGGGAGGCAGAGACC